GAAGTTCGTGGGGCAGTAGGTAAAATGAAAGGGGGTAAAGCAGCTGGGATTGATGGGATAAAGATAGAAATGTTAAAAGCAGGTGGGGATATAGTTTTGGAGTGGTTGGTGCAATTATTTAATAAATGTATGAAAGAGGGTAAGGTACCTATGGATTGGCAGAGAGCTTGCATAGTTCCTTTGTATAAAGGCAAAGGGGACAAAAGAGAGTGCAAAAATTATAGGGGGATAAGTTTGTTGAGTATACCTGGTAAAGTGTATGGTAGAGTTATTATTGAAAGAATTAAGACTAAGACAGAGAATAGGATAGCAGATGAACAAGGAGGCTTTAGGAAAGGAAAGGGGTGTGTGGACCAGGTGTTTACAGTGAAACATATAATTGAACAGTATTTAGATAAGGCTAAAGAGGTTTTTATGGCATTTATGGATTTGGAAAAGGCATATGACAGGGTGGATAGGGGGGCAATGTGGCAGATGTTGCAGGTGTATAGTGTAGGAGGTAGGTTACTGAAAGCAGTGAAGAGTTTTTACGAAGATAGTGAGGCTCAAGTTAGAGTATGTAGGAAAGAGGGAGATTATTTCCCAGTAAAAGTAGGCCTTAGACAAGGATGTGTGTAGTCACCGTGGTTGTTTAATATATTTATAGATGGGGTTGTAAGAGAAGTAAATGCGAGGGTCTTGGCAAGAGGCGTGGAGTTAAAAGATAAAGAATCACACATAAAGTGGGAGTTGTCACAGTTGCTCTTTGCTGATGGCACTGTGCTCTTGGGAGAGTCTGAAGAGAAGTTGCAGAGGTTGGTGGATGAATTTGGTAGGGTATGCAAAAGAAGAAAATTAGAAGTGAATACAGGAAAGAGTAAGGTTATGAGGAAAACAAAAAGATTAGGTGATGAAAGATTGGATATCAATTGGAGGGAGAGAGTATGGAGGAGGTGAATGTATTCACATATTTGTGAGTGGACATGTCAGTGGATGGGTCTATGAAAGATGAGGTGAATCATAGAATTGATGAGGGGAAAAGGGTGAGCAGTGCACTTAGGAGTCTGTGGAGACAAAGAACTTTGTCCTTGGAGACAAAGAGGGGAATGTATGAGAGTATAGTTTTACCAATGCTCTTATATGGGTGTGAAGCATGGGTGATGAATGTTGCAGCGAGGAGAAGGCTGGAGGCAGTGGAGATGTTATGTCTGAGGACAATGTGTGGTGTGAATATAATGCAGAGAATTCATAGTTTGGAAGTTAGGAGGAGGTGCGAGATTACGAAAACTGTTGTCCAGAGGGCTGAGGAAGGGTTGTTGAGGTGATTCGGACATGTAGAGAGAATGGAACGAAACAGAATGACTTTGAGAGTGTATAAATCTGTAGTGGAAGGAAGGCGGGATAGGGGTCGGCCTAGGAAAGGTTGGAGGGAGGGGGTAAAGGAGGTTTTGTGTGCGAGGGGCTTGGACTTTCAGCAGGCATGCGTGAGCGTGTTTGATAGGAGTGAATGGAGACAAATGGTTTTTAATACTTGACGTGCTGTTGGAGTGTGAGCAAAGTAACATTTATGAAGGGATTCAGGGAAACCGGCAGGCCGGACTTGAGTCCTGGAGATGGGAAGTACAGTGCCTGCACTCTGAAGGAGGGGTGTTAATGTTGCAGTTTACAAACTGTAGTGTAAAGCACCCTTCTGGCAAGACAGTGATGGAGTGAATGATGATGAAAGTTTTTCTTTTTCATGCCACCCTGCCTTGGTGGGAATCGGCCAGTGTGTTAATAATAAAAAAAAATTCTTTACATTCTCTATTATGTTTTATTGTTTTTATGCAATATTTTTTATTTATAAATACATTGTTTCAGGGTTTTCCTTATGAAACTAGTGATCTAATGCAGTTAGCCTCACAAACACTCTGTTTTCAGAAGGGGAAGAATGGGAAGATATGATCAATGCGACAGCGGCAGTGGCTGCCACCACTCGCCATAGTATGCCCTATTTTATTCATTTTAGAGCATATATCATGTTTCAGTGTTATTAATATTGTTTATTATGTTATATTAGATCATTTGTGATACATAAATAAGCTGTAGAGTTAATATTAGCATTATATTGAAGTACAGTGGACCCTCAACCAGCGATGGCATCGATTAATGATAAATCTGACTAGCTATTCATTTAAACGCAAAAATTTTGCCTCGACTAGCGCTTAAAAACCCGACCAGCGCTATTCGTTCCGTACCATACGCGTCCACTTTGGCCTGAGCGCGCCTTACTTGTCCCTTTGGTGCCAGTGTTTACAAGCCAGCCAGCCACCGCGGTCGCTTCCAAACATACAACTGGAACATTTCATATTATCACAGCCTTTTTAGTGATTGCACCTGCAAAATAAGTCACCATGGGCCCCAAGAAATCTTCTAGTGCCAACCCTACAGCAAAAAGGGTGAGAATTACTATGGAGATGAAGAAAGAGATCATTGATAAATATGAAAGTGGAGTGCGTATCTCTGAGCTGGCCAGGTTGTATAATAAACCCCAATCAACCATCGCTACTATTGTGGGCAAGAAAACGGCAATCAAGGAAGCTGTTCTTGCCAAAGGTGCAACTATGTTTTCGAAACTGAGATCGCAAGTACTCGAAGATGTTGAGAGACTGTTATTGGTGTGGATAAACGAGAAACAGATAGCAGGAGACAGCATCTCTCAAGCGATCATATGTGAAAAGGCTAGGAAGTTGCATGACGATTTAATTAAAAAAATGCCAGCAACTAGTGATGTGAGTGAATTTAAGGCCAGCAAAGGTTGGTTTGAGAGACTTAAGAAGCATAGTGGCATTCATAGTGTGATAAGGCAGAGTGAGGCTGCCAGTTTGGACCACAAATCGGCTGAAAAATATGTGCAGGACTTCAAGGAGTACATAGACAGTCAAGGACTCAAACCTGAACAAGTGTTTAATTGTGACGAAACAGGCCTGTTTTGGAAGAAAATGCCAAGCAGGACGTACATTACTCAGGAGGAAAAGGCACTCCCAGGACATAAGCCTATGAAAGACAGGCTTACTTTGTTGATGTGTGCCAATGCTAGTGGTGATTGCAAAGTGAAGCCTTTATTTGTGTATCACTCTGAAACCCCCAGAGTGTTCAGGAAAAACAATGTCCTCAAGGCTAATTTGTGTGTGCTGTGGAGGGCAGACAGTAAGGCATGGGTCACTAGGGACTTTTTCTATGACTGGTTACACCATGCATTTGCCCCCAATGTGAAAAATTACTTAATTGAAAAGAAATTAGACCTTAAGTGCCTCCTGGTATTAGACAATGCCCCTGGTCATCCTACAGATGTTTGTAGAGCGACTTTCTAGGGACATGAGCTTCATTAAGGTGAAGTTTTTGCCTCCTAATACCACTCCTCTCCTGCAGCCCATGGACCAGCAGGTTATTTCCAACTTCAAGAAACTGTACACAAAAGCTATGTTTGAAAGGTGCTTTGTAGTGACCTCTGAAACTCAACTGACTCTAAGAGAGTTTTGGAAAGATCATTTTACCATCCTCAGTTGTGTAAACATTATAGGTAAGGCTTGGGAGGAAGTGACTAAGAGGGCATTGAACTCTGCTTGGAAAAAATTGTGGCCAGAATGTGTAGACAAAAGGGATTTTGAAGGGTTTGAGGCTAACCCTGAGAATCCTATGCCAGTTGAGGAATCCATTGTGGCATTGGGGAAGTCCTTGGGGTTGGAGGTTAGTGGGGAGGATGTGGAAGAGTTGGTGGTGGAGGACAGTGAAGAACTAACCACTGATGAGCTGCTAGATCATCTTGAAGAGCAAGAGAGCAGACCTGAGGAAACTGCTTCGGAGGAGGGGAGAGAGAAATTGAAGAAGTTGCCTACTTCTAAGATTAAGGAAATCTGTGCAATGTGGCTTAAAGTGCAAAGCTTTATGGATGATAATCACCCTGACACAGCTACTGCAAGCCGTGTTGGCAACCTGTATACTGACAATGTTGTGAACCACTTTAGGAAAGTCATAAAGGAACGAGAGGTACAGGCCTCTATGGACAGATATGTTGTGCGACAGAAGTCCAGTGACTCTGAAGCTGGTCCTAGTGGCATTAAAACAACAAGGGAAGTAACCCCAGAAAAAGACTTGCTGCCTCAAGTGCTAATGGAAGGGGATTCCCCTTCTAAACACTAACACCTCTCCCCTCCTCCCATCCCATCAATCATCACCAGATCTTCAATAAAGGTAAGTGTCATGTAACTGTGCATGTAATCTTCAGTTTGTGTGTATTAAAATTAATATTTCATGTGGTAAAAAATTTTTTTTTTTCAATACTTTTGGGTGTCTTGCACGGATTAATTTGATTTCCATTATTTCTTATGGGGAAAATTAACTTGACTAACGATTATTTTGACTAACGATGAGCTCTCAGGAATGGATTAATATCGCTGGTTGAGGGTCCACTGTATTTTGTCCTGCCTCCTGAGAGCAAGAATTCCGCTGGAACGGATTAATGGCATTTCAATTAATTTAAATGAGGAAAATTGATTTCATATAAGAATGAACTGAGTTACAAGCTAGTTCACTGAATGGATTAAACTCGTAAGTTGAGGTCGCACTGCATGTGCATTTTTAAGGCCTATCCCTATTGCTCACTTAATATATGATAATGTAAACATGTTATCAGAGTTTTACATGCATTTATTGTGATTTTTGCTTTATAGCGGTAGCCTGGAACTTAACCTGCTGTATAAGCAGGGCCTTCCTGAAATTCCATCAAACATTACTCTGAAACATGATTTCTCTGCTGCCTCTAGTCTCTGTGCTGTAGCATTCAGAGCCCATGCGTTGCACTCAGTGTTGGTAACACTATACTATACATTTTTTTTTTTTCCTCCATAGATAAACTTATTTTCTGCAGATGCTTTAACACACCGCTCACCCTTATCTCCACCCCATCTATTCTATGGCTCACCTCATCTTTAAAATTTATTTAATTTTTATTTATATTTCTTTAAATAATTTATTTGCAGGTTGTGGTGTGCAGCCAAGATTACAGTAGCTCAGAATATAAAGAAAATAATGACATTAAGAAAACAATAGTCAATGATCAAAATGAAGTGTGTACAGACAGTGATGGAACAGTCATTTTATCTAAAAATGGCAACCTTGAACATATTGTCAAGAAGCAAAAGTGTGCAGTCTGTATAACCTGCATTGGATTATTACAATGGGGTTGCTCTACTGATGCTGTCAAGTTGGTAAGGCATGCTATACATACATATTAATCATCCAAATCATGCATATTCATATAAAAATACAGTGGCACTTCAAATTTCAGCCATAATTCATTCCAGAAGGCTGTTTGAGTGCCATTACTGAACAAATTTGTTCCCATAAGGAATAATGTAAATTAGATTAGTCCGTTTTAGACCCCCAGAAATACACTTACAAATGCACTTACAGAAATATACTTACTTAATTGTTCGAGTTTGGAGCTGTTTGAAATTCAAGGTACCACTATATTTGTTCATTAATTTCCAGTCATTGCAGTGAAGGCAGCATTTTCATACAGTCACCCCTATTTTCTTTTTTTTTTATATTACAATCGCCCACCAATATAGTAATTCCATTTAAAGAAAGCCACAGAATAGTGTGTCTTGAGGTATTCTTTCACCTGTTATATGTATATAAAAATGTGTATGTATATATATATATATATATATATATATATATTTATATATATATATATTTTATTTTATATATTATATAATATATATATATATATATATATATATTATACAGTGGACCCCCGGTTTACGATATTATTTCATTCCAGAAGTATGTTCAGGTGCCATTACTGAACGAATATTGTGAAGTAGATTAGTCCATCAGGGCCCCAAACATACACGTACAATCGCACTTATATAAAATACACTTACATAATTGGTCGCATTGGGAGCTGATTGTAAAGCGGGGGTCCACTGTATATATATATATATTATATATTTATATATATATATATTTTATATATATATTATATTAATATATATACGCCTACCATCCAACTTACGACCTGCTCGACTTACGACCACTCGACTTACGACGTGTTTTTTTATGCCCAAAATTTTTGGAAATAAACAACTATTTGTGTTGTACAAAGTGTTTATCCTAAACCTTCAGTATAAAATTCAGTACTAACAGATAAAAGTAAAGTAAAATGTGAAATACCAAAATAAAACAATAAAATAAAGTCATTTCAAAATGTTTTGTTGATATTCACTAGTAAAGTTCGAATTACGACCATTTCGACTTACGACCCGGGTTTTTCGGAACAGAACTCAGTCGTAAGTCGGATGGTAGGTGTGTATATATATATATATTATATATATATATATATTATATATACATGTATATATTATATTATATATATATATATAATATATATATATTATATTTATATATAATATTATATATATATATATATTATATATATATATAAAATTTTAGGTAGTAGGTTGGTAGACAGCAACCACCCAGGGGAAATACTACGTTTCCCGCCAGATGACTGTGAAACAAAAAACCTGTAACTGTTTTGCATGATGGTAGGATTTCTGGTTTTCTTTTTCTGTCTCATAAACAGCTAGATAACAGGGATATCTTGCTACTCCTACTTACACTTTGGTCACACTTCAAAGACACGCACAATGCATATATATATTTTTACATACATCTAGGTTTTTTCCTTATTCTAAATAGCTCTTGTTCTTTTTTATTTTTCTATTGTCCATGGGGAAGTGGAAAGAATCTTTCCTCCGTAAGCCATGCGTGTCGTATGAGGCGACTAAAATGCCGGAAGCAATGGGCTAGTAACCCCTTTCCTGTATACATTTACTAAAAAAGAGAAGAAGAAAACTTTTTAAAACTGGGTTGTTTAAATGTGCGTGGATGTAGTGCGGATGACAAGAAACAGATGATTGCTGATGTTATGAATGAAAAGAAGTTGGATGTCCTGGCTCTAAGCGAAACAAAGCGAAGGGGGTAGGAGAGTTTCAGTGGGGGGAAATAAATGGGATTAAATCTGGAGTATCTGAGAGAGTTAGAGCAAAGGAAGGGGTAGCAGTAATTTTAAATGATCAGTTATGGGGAGAAAAGGGAATTTGAATGTGTAAATTCGAGTTTATGTGGATTAAAGTAAAGGTTGGATGCGAAAAGGGGGTGGGTCATAATAAGGTGTATGCACCTGGGAAGAGGGATGCGAGGAGAGAGAGAGATTTTGGGAGATGTTAAGTGAAGTATAGGAGCCTTTGAACCAAGTGAGAGGTAATTGGGTAGGGACCGAATGCAAAAGTAGGAGAAACTTTTAGAGGGGTGTGGTAGGTAAGTTTGGGGGGGGTGCCAGGTGTAAATGATAATGGGAGCCCTTGATTGAACTTTGTTAAAAAGGGGTTTAGTTATAGGTAATACATTTTTTAAGAAAAAGGGGATAAAAATATACACGATATGTGTAGGGCGAAATGCAGTAGTTTTTTGGATTATGTTTGTAGTAAAAGACTTTTTTTAGACTTCAGGATGTACATGTTTATGGGGGGGCCACAGATATATCAGTCACTTTCTAGTTGTAGCTCACTGAGAGTAAAGGTAGATGGGTTAAAGGAGATAGAAGCTAGGGAAGAGAGAGGTGAAGGTTTAAAAAATAAAAGAGGAGGCGTTAGGGAGATATAAACAGCTTTTGGAGGATAGATGGGAAATGAGAGCATAGGCAATGGGGTCAAAAGAGGAAGGGGGTTTGGGTTTAAAAAAATGTGTGTTAGGTTTTTCAGCGAAGTTTGTGGTTACGGAAAGTGGGTCGGGGGAAGAGGAGGATTGGGGGAATGTGATGTAAAGAGGTAGTAAGGGAGAAAAATTTAGCATATAGAATTTTTTACAAAGTAGAAGTGATGAAAGGGGGGAAGAGTATATGGGAAAAAGAGAGGGGGTTTAAAGAGAGTGGTGAAGCATGTAAAAAGAGAGCAAATGAGAGAGTGGGTGAGTTTATCAACAAATTTTTTTTAAAAATAAGAAAAAGTTTTGGAGTGAGATTAACAAGTTAAGGAAGCTAGAGAACAAATGGTTTTGTCATTTAAAAAAATAGGGAGAGAGTTTTTTAAATGGGAGTTAGAGGTATTGGGAAAGATGGGGGGAATATTTTGGGGTTTTGTTAAATGTTGATAAAGATAGGGAAGCGTGATTTGTGTATAGGGCAAGGGGAATAACATCTTGAGGAGTGGGGGAAGAGCCATTTGAGGGGGGGGGGAATTTCGTGGGGCAGTGGAAAAATGAAAGGGGGAAAGGGCCCCGGGATTGAGGGGAAAAAGATAAAATTTTTAAAAGCAGGTGGGGATATAGTTTTGGATGGTTGGTGCAATATTTAATAAATGTAGGGAAAGAGGGAAAGGTACCTAGGGATTGGCAGAGGCATGCATATTTCCTTTGTAAAAAGGCAAAGGGGTAAAAGAGAGTGCAAAAATTTAGGGGATAATCTGTTGAGTGTACCTGGTAAATGTATGGTAGGTTAAAATTGAAAGAATTAAAAGGAGAAGAGGGAAAAGGATGCAGATGAACAAGGAGGGTTTGGAAAGGTGGGGGGGGTGTGGCCAGGTTGTTTTCAGTGAAACTTTTAAGTGAACGTATTTAGATAAGGCTAAAGAGGTTTTTTGTGGGATTTATGGATTGGAAAAGGCGTATGACAGGGTGGATGGGGGGCAATGTGGAGATGTTGCAAGTGTATGGTGTAGGAGGTAGGTTCTGAAAGCGGGAAAGAGTTTTTAGGGGGATAGTGAGGCTCAAGAGAGTATGGGGGAAAAGAGGGAAATTTTTTCCCCAGAAAAAAGTAGGCCCTTAGACAAGGATTGTTTGATGTCCCCCGTGGTTTTTTAAATATATTTATAGTGGGGTTGTAAGAGAAGTAAATGCGAGGGTTTTGCAAGGGGTGGAGTTAAAAGAAAAAGAAACACCCCAAATTTGGGAGTTGTACAGCTGCTCTTTGTGTGCACTGTGCTTTTGGGGAGATTCTGAAGGGAAGCTGCAGAGATTGGTGGATAAATTTGGTGGGTGTGAAAAAGGGAAAAAAAATTAAAGGTAATACGGAAAGAGTAAGGTTATGAGGAAAACAAAAAGATTAGGTGATGAAAGATTTGAATATCAGATTGGGGGGAGAGAGTAGGAGGAGGTGAAGTATTCAGATATTTGGGAGGGCGGTCGGGGAGGGGTCTATAAAAGATGAGGGAATCATAAAAATTTGATGAGGGAAAAAAAAGAGTAGTGGTGCACTTAGGAGTTGTGGAGACAGAGAAATTTTGTCCTTGGGGGCAAAAAGGGGGAATGTATGGGGAGTATAGTTTTCCCAAGCTTTTATGGGTGTGGAAAGCATGGGTGATGAATGTTGCAGCGGGGGAAAGGTGGAGGAGGGGAGATGTCATGTTGAGGGAAAGGGTTTTTGGTGTGAATATAATGCAGAGAATTTCGTAGTTTGGAAGTTGGAGGAGGTGCGGGATTCCCCAAAACTGTTGCCCGAGGGTGAGAAGGGGTTTTGAGGTGGTTGGACATGTAGAGAGAATGGAGCGAACAAAATAATTTAAGGTGTATCAGTCTTAGTGGAAGGAAAGGGGGGGGTAGGGGTCGGCCTAGGAAGGGTTGGGGGGAGGGGGGAAAGGGGGTTTTGTGTGCGAGGGGTTGGACTTCCAGCAGGCGCGTGGGTGTTTGAAGGATGAATGGAGGAAAAATGGTTTTTAATAATTGAGTTTTGTTGGAGTGTGAGCAAAGTAAATTTATGAAGGGGTTAGGGAAAACCGGCTGCGGACTTGGTCCTGGAGATGGGAAGTACGTGCCCGCACTTGAAGGAGGGGTGTTAATGTTTCAGTTTAAAAATGTAGTGTAAAAACACCCTTTTGGCAAAACAGTGATGGAGTGAATGAGGTGAAAGTTTTTCTTTTTCGGGCCCCCCTGCCTTTGGGGGAATCGGCCGTGTGTAAAAAAAAAAAAATAAAAAATAATAATATATATATATTTTATATATATTTAATTTTATTATATTTATATATTTTATTATATATATATAATAAATTTATATATTTTCAACAAGTTGGTGTCTCCCCCCGAGGAGGGTGACCCAAAAAAAAAAGAAAATCCCCAAAAAAAAAATACTTTCTCCATTCAACCTTTCACCACACACATTTTTCACTGCTTTTGCAGAGGTGCTCAGAATACAACAGTTTAGAAG